CTGGAGACTTCAGAGTAAATGTGTGCGAATTATGTTCACGGTGAAAACGGGGCGTCGCAATCTGGGGCATTGCATGATTTTTACAGTTTGCAGCTGGCAGTGCAGTCAGCGATTTGTGCAAGAGTACGAGAACCGCTTCGCGAAAGATCCTTATTTGCATCTTATAGCAGCCGCAGTTCTCACAAGACATTAGTAATTTGCCTCGCCGTCCCGCGCGCGCATCGTGCGGTCGCGCTCAGCAAGTTCTTGTTATGCATCAGTTTATTTATTGGAGCAGCAAAACTCGCGTGGATTCTAGTGGAAGTAGGGCACCTTGCCGAGGAAGTCACTCGGTTTTCACTTTCTCTTCTGCATTATAAATAGCATCATTGTATTTTCTTTGCCTGCTCTGTGACTGTCCAGTGTTCGCTAAGTAGAAAGCTGTCTTAAAGCGCTAGCGTACTATCGTCACGTACTTCTTCGCTCTTCGTATTGAATTGTGAATCAACTTCCTTCAGGAATGTATATAGCTGGAATGGCCATACCACCATCGATTGGTGATTCATGGTTGTGGGAACATGTGGATCCAATTGTTGCCGTGATTATGACAATACTATTTTTCTTACTCATAATACCAGCTTGTGAGTCAATATACGATATTCTCTGATTTATGTCTTTCATCCCTTTCCTTTCAGTCCAAGAGATGATGCCTTACATTTTTGCTGACACTCCAGCTAAGTTTCACGTGGAATCGTTTCAGAATGAGATTTCAGCTACGGTGGAGTTTTTACAGTCTTTTTATGAATTATGTCAGCTGACTGCAGCGTAGCTTTTGTATCGTATGATCAAGAGTCTAGCATCGTGTGGAAGGCTTACGGCGAGGTTAGGCAGCGTGGGACGCTCGTCATCTGCGCTCTTCGAAGGGAGTACCTCGGGAATGAGTTGCTATCGCGGGTAGAGACGCAGGCAAACACCCTCGTTGACGCCGCCGCGTGCCCCTCCCCTGCCCTCTCGAACAATGTTAAAATATGTTTTTCTTCACACCCGACATTCGCGCTCCACCCCTCATTACTGAGAACAACGTTGACCTACGGAGGATGAGGGAGGAGGAACCACGACGACGGTCAGGGTTCCTCATTTTCCATTATCCAAGCCCATTAAGTGATTACTGTGTCCTCTCGCGGGACCACCACCCGACAACACTCCCCGTCAGCTTTCTGAGCATGAGTCTTAGTTAGGGAAAGGGCCTCAGACGTGGCTCAGTGGTCCCCACCCCTAACCACATTAGCGTTCGGGAAACCTTTGAATTGTATCGCGTTTCATTTTCTATTCATCTTTTCTGTTCCTTTATTTCATTATCTGTACTGGCAAAATTACAGCTTTCCTTACAGTTTCCTGATGTCACATGTACACACATACACGCATATCGACTGTGGCCCGGCAATCTGTTTGAAGCGCTCATTCATCTCAACTTTCTTGTTGGTTTTTTTTTCTCTTTTTCTTCTGTTTTTCTTTCACTTTACAATTTTCTCCTTTATGTCGTTGCATTACTTCCCTTTCAGGTGGATAAATCGAATCCGAGCTGGTCGGGCGAAGCTGCTACACGATATTCTGAAGTTCGTCAGAATGTAGCAAGCGTCTTGACGAGGGCTGGTGCTCAAAAGGTGATTTAAGTACTTCTACTTATTGCTGAGATCATCAAGGACATTGGCCGCTTTTCAAAGTGGTTTTCCACATGTAGTGTTCATTTTCCGTTAGCGGCTCTGGAATTGCTAAGAGAATGGGGAAAACATGATTGTGGTTCGATTATCCTTGCAGTGACAAAAGTTCCCAATTATTGACGTCCTATTTTTTGTATTCCTTTCATCCTTCAGTTGAAGTCCTTCAGTTGGTTGAAATCTCCCAAATGTGGAACTACTCAATGCTGGAAATATATTTAAAGTGTAAAATCCTTGCTCACAAGTAGCATCTCCCTACTTTTTGGGCATCTCCGGAGCCACTGAGGAGGAGTGAATATTCCCTTTGCGGGTGTGTGACAAGACAATTGTAGTGTGCCGCACTAATAGGCGTGGCGAGCGACGTTGCCCCCGATAGACGAGTCGTTGCGCCTAGCCTCCTTAATGTAAGTCAGAGTGATGCGAAAGTCCGATATCGCCGTCATTGAGTCTTATCTTTGCTTGAACTCATATGTGTTTCGCTGCTACAGTCGGCAGACCGATGTTCATCGAGAATTAGCCGCGCACTGCCGCTCCGCGCGGCTACGCTCCAAATTGTCTTGTCCGTCTCCCCTTTGCGTACGTGTACGTGTACGGCTCTTACCACCTCTATCAGCTGTCCTCCCGTTGACCATCGTGCAGCTCGAACGGGTTGTGTGGAATCTGCGAAGCTTTCACTAAATCCTCTCATAGGTGGGCGGAGTCGTCGGGAAGGAGTCTATTGTGGCAGCGTATGAAAATCCATTCAACATTGTATATGTGGCATACTGGAATTGTGAAAAACCTATGCAACTGGAGATTACAGAGTAAATGTGTGCGAATTATGTTCACGGTGAAAACGGGGCGTTGCAATCTGGGGCATTGCATGATTTTTACAGTTTGCAGCTGGCAGTGCAGTCAGCGATTTGTGCAAGAGTACGAGAACCGCTTCGCGAAAGATCCTTATTTGCATCTTATAGCAGCCGCAGTTCTCACAAGACAGTAGTAATTTGCCTCGCCGTCCCGCGCGCGCATCGTGCGGTCGCGCTCAGCAAGTTCTTGTTATCCATCAGTTTATTTATTGGAGCAGCAAAACTCGCGTGGATTCTAGTGGAAGTAGGGCACCTTGCCGAGGGTCATCGGTTTTCCACGTTTCTTCCGCATTAAATACGAATGAGTCGTCTCACGCGCGCGCGATGTTGCTCGCCATCGGTATTTTACAATTTTCTTTTCACATACCCACCCCTCCCCAAAAAAAGATATGAAAGCGGAAAGTGCACAATGTCTCGAACGACTTTCCCACTAGCTAATGAACGCGGCTATTGCGAAGCGATCATGTGATTGGTCGATTCATCAAACGCCCGATCGGGCGAACCGTAGGTCGTTCGAACATCACATCATACAGCTCAATTCATCGAAGTAAGTGACAGTGTTTAAGGCAAAAAAAAACAAAACCCTCGACCTGTTCGATAAATAAACTTCCTTAGTTTATTAAGAAAAAAAATACTGATAATTAGGTAGGTGAAGGACATGTTGCCCAAGCCAAGACCAGTTCAATCCTTGACATCACGCTCAACATTGAAGAATGAAGAGTTATATACTACGCGCCGAAAAACTACGGTCTTGTTTGCTTGCGGAACGCTAGCACACGTATTCGAGGGAGCTGGAATGGCTCATGCCAGCCTGTTTTTCGCAATTGTGTGAGCAGGCAATCGACCCAATTGGTGAAAACTGGTCGGCCGCCAAACTAAGCTTCTCAGCCGCTCCCTCACCTCCACCAGTGAAACACCCTAGCTTCCGCAGAGGTGAGACTATAGGTAGACTGCCTACTAGCTAAAAATGAGCAGGAAATAGAGAATCTTTGTTATTTTCTTTGCCGCTCTGTGAGCTGTCTATTGTCAGCCAAGTATAAAACGCTGTCTTACAGAGCCGGCGTGCTTTGCGTCACCGTACTGTTCTTCGCTCTCTCGTATTTGAATTGTGAAGTCTCAACTTTCCTTTAGGAATGTGCTATATAGCTTGGATATTGAGGCATACCACCGCGTCGATGGGTGATTCATGGTTGTGGGAACATGTGGATCCAATTGTTGCAATGCCGCGTAGATTTATGACAATACTATTTTTCTTACTCATAATACCAGCTTGTGAGTCAATATACGATATTCTCTGATTTATGTCTTTCATCCCTTTCCTTTCAGTCCAAGAGATGATGCCTTACATTTTTGCTGACACTCCAGCTAAGTTTCACGTGGAATCGTTTCAGAATGAGATTTCAGCTACGGTGAGTTTTTACAGTCTTTTTATGAATTATGTCAGCTGACTGCAGCGTAGCTTTTGTATCGTATGATCAAGAGTCTAGCATCGTGTGGAAGGCTTACGGCGAGGTTAGGCAGCGTGGGACGCTCGTCATCTGCGCTCTTCGAAGGGAGTACCTCGGGAATGAGTTGCTATCGCGGGTAGAGACGCAGGCAAACACCCTCGTTGACGCCGCCGCGTGCCCCTCCCCTGCCCTCTCGAACAATGTTAAAATATGTTTTTCTTCACACCCGACATTCGCGCTCCACCCCTCATTACTGAGAACAACGTTGACCTACGGAGGATGAGGGAGGAGGAACCACGACGACGGTCAGGGTTCCTCATTTTCCATTATCCAAGCCCATTAAGTGATTACTGTGTCCTCTCGCGGGACCACCACCCGACAACACTCCCCGTCAGCTTTCTGAGCATGAGATCCTTAGTTTTTAGGGAAAGGGCCTCAGACGTGGCTCAGTGGTCCCCACCCCTAACCACATTAGCGTTCGGGAAACCTTTGAATTGTATCGCGTTTCATTTTCTATTCATCTTTTCTGTTCCTTTATTTCATTATCTGTACTGGCAAAATTACAGCTTTCCTTACAGTTTCCTGATGTCACATGTACACACATACACGCATATCGACTGTGGCCCGGCAATCTGTTTGAAGCGCTCATTCATCTCAACTTTCTTGTTGGTTTTTTTTCTTTTTCTTCTGTTTTTCTTTCACTTTACAATTTTCTCCTTTATGTCGTTGCATTACTTCCCTTTCAGGTGGATAAATCGAATCCGAGCTGGTCGGGCGAAGCTGCTACACGATATTCTGAAGTTCGTCAGAATGTAGCAAGCGTCTTGACGAGGGCTGGTGCTCAAAAGGTGATTTAAAGTACTTCTACTTATTGCTGAGATCATCAAAGGACATTGGCCGCTTTCAAGTGGTGGTTTTCCACATGTAGTATTCACTTTCCGTGAGCGGCTCTGGAATTGCTAAGAGAATGGGGAAAATATGATTGTGGTTCGATTATCCTTGCAGTGACAAAAGTTCCCAATTATTGACGTCCTATTTTTTTGTATTCCTTCAGTGTGAAATCCTTCAGTTGGTTAGAAATTCTCTCAAATGTGGAAATCCTTACTCAATGGCTTGGAAATATATATTCAGAGTGAAAATACTTGCTCACAAGTAGCATCTCCCTACTTTTTGGGCATCTCCGGAGCCACTGAGGAGGAGTGAATATTCCCTTTTGCGGGTGTGTGACAGACAGCGTGGTATGCCGCGCTGAGTAGGCTGGCGAGCGGACGTCGCCCCCGATAGGACAGTCGTGCGCCTTAGCCTCCTGAATGCTGAGTCAGAGTGCACTGCGAATGTGGCGATTTCGCCGTCATGGCCGGTCTTACCGTTGCGCTGGAACTAATATTTGTTTCGCTGCTACAGTCGGCAGACCGATGCTCATCGAGAATTAGCCGCGCACTGCCGCTGCGCGTGGCCACGCTACAAATTGTCTTGTCCGTCTCCCTTTGCGTACGTACCGCTGTACGGCTCTTACCACTCTCTATTCAGCTGTCCTCCCGGTTGACCATCGCTGCAGTTGATACGGAGTTGTGTAGCCAATCTGCGTAAGCTTTCATCTAAATCCTTCATAGTGGCGGTGAGTCCGTCGGCGAACGAAGTCTATGTGGCTGCAGTGTATGAAAATCCATTCAACAGTGTTATATGTGGTCCAGTACTGGAATTGTGAAAAACCTACTGCAGCTGCGAAGATACAGAGCAAATGGGTGTGCGAATTATTGTTCATTAGGTGAAAACGGGGCGTTGCAATCTAGGGCACTGCATGAGTTTTACTGTGTGCAGCTGGCAGTGCAGTTAGCGATTCGTGCAAGAGTACGAGAACCGCTGTCTTACGGCCATCTTATAGCCAGCACGGCAGCTTCTCATAAGGGAAACTGACAAGACAGTAGTAATTTGCCTCGCCGTCCCGCGCGGCGCATCGTGCGGCCGCGCTCAGCAAGTTCTCGTTATGCATCAGTTTATTGATTGGAGCAGCAAAACTCGCGTGGATTCTAGTGGAAGTAGGGCACCTTGCCGAGGGTCATCGGTTTTCCACGTTTCTTCCGCATTAAATACGAATGAGTCGTCTCACGCGCGATGTTGCTCGCCATCGGGTTTTTTACAAATACTGTTTTTCAACATATCCACCCTCCCCCTCCCCAAAAGAATATGAAGATATGAAAGCGGAAAGTGCACAATGTCTCGAACGACTTTCCCACTAGCTAATGAACGCGGCTATTGCGAAGCGATCATGTGATTGGTCGATTCATCAAACGCCCGATCGGGCGAACCGTAGGTCGTTCGAACATCACATCATACAGCTCAATTCATCGAAGTAAGTGACAGTGTTTTTTAGAGGTTCTACATTCGTTGGTTTCAGGTTAGTTGTTGAACCATGTTTCCTCGATGCGCTACAGAGATAGGACGACCATGGGTGGGATGTGTTGGTGCGACGTGCTTCCGCCAAGATCGTGGATGTTGTAAAGTGGACTACAAAGTTGAAGCTCCGTGCTGATGTATAGCTCGTTAGACGAACATATCAATTATCTCGAGCTCAAATGTTCATATCGTGATCGCATTCCAATGACGTCAACGCGCCAATTGCTTTTGTCACGGAGTTCAGTCCGATAACGGGTAGTGATCTACGCGTGTACCTCACCGCAATATAATTTAAAATTATCATATGTTGTATTGAAAAGATTAGTCATTATTAATAAGAATTATAATTATTACAAAATTGTTACTTTGAAACGCATAAAGTAGGTCATAGTTCTAACGCGAGTAGGTCATCTGTTGTAAGGGCTGATTGAGTCCTAAATTGTAGTAAAACGTGTAGATTAATCAATGGTAAGGTGAAATTCACCGCAAAATCTTCTAGCTTGATATTGTAAGCTTTTGACATTTTGATAAGTACTGGATGTGTTAAGTTCACGTTGCTTACTAAATTGTTTATGTGTCACAGCAGAATCGTGGGCGTACGCTGTCATAAGGGCCATCGTGATTGGCCTCGTTTCAATGAATATCTTTAAAAATAAGGTCCGATGGCATCCTATATGTGGGAAGCACTGAATAACTGTTATAGTGAAACGTCAGTAAAATTCGAGCTGTGGTCCAAGAAATCCATG